ATCATTGAGTCTGTTCAGGTAAAATTTTGTAAATATTTCTTGAAAGTTGGTAAATCTACCTGTAATAACATGGCCCTTGGTGATTGTGGCAGACTTCCTCTACAAATTACTTATATGATCAAAGTAATTAAATACTGGTGTCACCTATTGTATATGCCTTATGATAGACTGCCAAAACATTGTTATATTATGCTCAAGTCCTTAGATGATGTTGGCCGCACTACTTGGGCAACTTGTGTCAAAAATATTTTATTTAAGTATGGTTTGGGCTATGCATGGATCAGTCAGGATGTTGGCAATGTTGATTATTTCATATCCTTGTTTAAGCAGAGACTTTCGGATAATCTTAAACAATGTTGGTCCACTTCAATTCAAAATTCTAATAAGTGCTTTTATTACTCCCAATTTAAGACATTTTTAAATGTGGAAAGGTATTTAAATTCTGATATTCCTTTACATCTCAGATCTGCACTCTCTAAATTTAGATGTGCAAATTTTAATTTAGCTGTTGAAACTGGAAGATACAATAAAGTTAATTACAACGAGAGACTATGTCTATTTTGTAAATTGGATGACAAAAATGTTATTGAAGATGAATTCTATGTACTCCTTAAGTGTGAACGTTTTTCTGATTTAAGGTTAAGATATATTCAGAAATATTTTACTGATTTTGATCCAAATGCCAATTTTATTAACATTATGAAAACACATAATGATTGTATCATAAGAGATGTCAGTATTTTTCTGTATCATGTACTTCAGCGCATTAGAAATGTTCCTCTTACACAGCATGTGCACTAAACTATCTATATCATATGCAAATGACTGTATGATGGGCCTGTGGCCTTTTACTGAATAAACTTGTCTGTCTGCCTGTCTGTCTGTCTGTATGTGTGTACGTGTGTTCGACACGATTCTAGGTTTGTTGTCAGTACCATACTCGAGAGTTTCAGGTTGAGGATAATCTTCAATTACACCTGGTCTTTATTTATAAAAACATTCTGGTGTTACAAGAAACAGACTTCCGGTAACATAACTATGAGGGGAATTGAACACGTACCTTTGGCGCAACCAGCGACCGCTTAAACATCTGTGTGTGGCTACTCACACCCACTCGGGATGATGTTGACAATTTGTAAAGACTGCCGTTCATAATTAACATACCGATCTTTACTTGGCACTTTATAAGTATAAGTCAAATGCCATGGATCCAATAGCCCGGCATATCGGATTAGAATCACGTTTGGTCATATTCTCATGATCTAACCTACTATACCCGTCTAGACACAAAGATTACTCCTAGATGTAAACATGTTATAAAAGCAACTTTTTACACGTGATAAGACAAAACTATTAGGTATGAGCCATTCGTGTCAGATCTTTTGGTTCCTTACCAAACTTAGCCAATCAACATTGTGTGGTGATTACTGGCACAGACGTCCTGGGTTTTCAGACACTGCAATTTGTCATGCACATCTACGCCCTCAGGTTGTATGGGGACCTTCAAGTCAGGAGCTGGAACCCAAAATTCTCCCTGAATGTAATAATGGGTCTGTCAGCACCCAATCCGTGCTCAAGGTTTCGCCATAGTCTATGACCTCATGCAGGTGATGATAAAACCGGAAAAAATAAGTTCTTTTCCATAATCATAAGAAACTGGAGATAACAGTTTCTCAAGCGCTGCTTCACAAACCGTTATCTCCTGTATCGCATATAGTGCTTTCAAAACTGCTATTAAATCTTTACTCGGGATCCTTAATGAACTTCATGAAATTAAACCGACAAATTGTTGTAAGTCATATTTGTTAAGACAAATGCTTGTCAATACGACTTTGTTTTGACCAAGTATCTGTTTAACCTTCGTTATTGGCTGACAATACCGATGGGACGTGAAACTGTAACTCACTCACCCACTGGTGACACCCATCAGAAACACATGCAAAGGCAGGACAAGTGTTCACCTGAAAAAAATACACTAAGGTGATGAATGTCACCTAACGCCTGGCCATTGCATTGGCTATGTGACGAGTGGTTAGTAGTAGACAACCCTTCAGCATGACATGTCATGTAGAATTCGAAACGACTTTCCATTGTGGTGCACCAGGCAGAAAAACCCTCTTGATCTTGGTTTACCAAATAGACTATCTTTTCCATACATGATTTCTTCCTTAAACAGTGGCCGTGGAAGGATCACCCCTAATGTTGACACTGCTTCAGGACGGTTTTGTCCATTTTTATAAACAGGGTCTAGACCGTCACTCAGCAAGATTGACAACATTTCAACCACCTTGTTTGTGACACTGGGACGCACATGTGATTCCATCGCCTGCAGAGTGGCGCCCCGTCTGTACGCCAGAAACCTGTGTTCTTGTGTTGGAATCCCCCTGGTTCGCCTCCATTATGTTTCTGAGTATGATCAACACCATACCATGGATTCACCAATGTTGTACACATCTGAGACTTGCATCAATTATAGCTTTCCTGCCACATTACGATGGACACACCGTCGTTTAACTAGAATACTGTTGAAGGCAGCGTTATACCCAGCTCATTCCCTCGCCAATCACGGTCACATAATACACAATTGTTTGGCAGTAGAGAACCATGTGTATGGTGTGATTTTTTTACAGTCGGTGCTTAAGCGTGCTGTATTCATTGCTGTTGCTACATGTGGCACATTGAGTTTTTCTGGATATTCACATGTATATGGTCCCGTCACGGAGCACTCTCCCAGTCACAGGGAGAAGAATGAAGATTCCGTTCGTGATTGGATCTTAGGTTGTATCATGTCACTCCTTCCAATATAACGTTCCCTTTGCCTCACACATCTCACTCAAATTGTGAGCCCCGGAAGCACTTCTATCAAAGTCATTGTAACCTCTGATAACGTAACTTTGCAGCAATCTGTGCCAATGACCATTATTTTACATTTACGCTATCCAGACATCAGCATCAGTAGGGATTCATTTTCTTTTTATGGTGGCAAAATTTGCTAAATTACATGTATCACATTTTCTCCTCATTTTATGCATTAGAAGTCTGATTTGTATTTCAGCTGTTACACAGTCTGCATGACCCATATCAAGAACTATTTTAGTATGAGATGTTTTGCTTTTAACAGGGAATCGAATTGAGTTATTATTAGAATTTATTGGCATGTTTGTTTTCTGTCCGTGACAGTGTGTACATTACATAACATTAATTTTAACAACGTAAATCCCAAGAGATGTGCAGCTTGTGATAACGTGAATGCAAATTCGTACATGTGTGTTCACGCAACAGTGCATATGACAAATGGTTATAATGTAATTATGTATATGGTTTTAAAAGCAAACAATGTTAATCAGATTATCAAAGTATTGAGGGCTTGAAAATGTGACACCGTAGAAAATAAAGCTCCTGGGGATAATTGACGCCAACAGCACTGTGATATCGATATCAAACATATTCAATGGATCGTGCACAATTATATCTTCACAAGTATATCTAAATTCATAGACACCAGGGTTTCATTTGATCTTCATCTTCCCATGCAAGTCAAGCGTGGCTCGATGACTTGGTTGACGAATGTTATCGAATCCCAGTTGCGTGAATCGATGCTCATGACGTCAATCATTGGATTGTCTGGACTCGATTAGATACAGGCCGCCGTCAAAAAGCCGGAAAATGATCAGTGCGGCGTAAAACAACAAACACAAACTAAAATCATACTTTTTAGACAGTTGAGTCGAATAGTTGAGCAATCATCCTTTGGTCATGGGTGACGCTAATACTCTTGGTGAATCGTTCTTTAAGCTCCCTATGTGAAATGTAATGGTGGGTGTTTTTGTCATTCCTTCAAAATAAGATTCGGTTCGAACAGAACACTCGTAAAGTCAGGGAGACTGTAATATTGCTGTACAATTTTGTCCACTGTTTTGCGTGTCAAATGTCTGTGACAACTTAAGAGTTATATTGTGGGTAAACCGGTTTTGCTTGACTGTACATTTAACTTTCTGTCTGTCCAAACAGAAATTTGTGGAATTGGCCAGATTTTCCACAGACGCATGTACTGAAGTATCGTTAGCACATATCTTGCTGTCATGGTGCAAAATATGCATCAGTTAATTCAAGTAATCTATTATTCCAACCATCCCTATATCTTCAGGCGTGTCAACTGGAAGAACAACATCCTCACTTTCTTTATACCTGAGTGTCATATTAAAGGTCTCTACATTTTCATCAATATGAGTTTTGTTATTTTGTGCGGGTTTTCTTGTCTGATCAGCGGAGTAAGTAAATTAATTGCCTTCGCTGTCTTTGCAGGAATGTGTTGGAAGAAACACTGTAGGAACGTATATGTCCTTAGCTTTCTTCACTAAAATGACACCACATTTTGTTTCAATATGTTACATTTATATTCCTATCGTCAGTCGAAATATATTCTCTCTAGGCAACACAGACAACAGAAGTCACTTTATTTCTAGATAATATACCTTTGGAACAATTCGAAGCCTCGGAAAAGAGTCCCTATCCAGTGATTATTTCAGATTTGTTGATCGATACTGCTGAAACTCGTCGACAATCAATATTTGTAGATATTGTTCATGTTGACTCAATCAGTAGTAAAAATGATTGATACAAGTTAACCAACATCGAAAGTAAGAACGAATATTTAGCGCAAAAGACGGTGGTGTCACATTCCATACATGCATCTTCTATTTTCAATATATTGTACAAACACAATCGCCGAGAAATGAAGATCAAAAACCCCACTCGAGCAAAACAAATGAGAAAGAATTATGAACAGTGTTGAATCATTTACAGTGAAAAGATGCTTTCATTTAAAGTGGAATAATAATATTAATTATCATTAAAAAATAGGATGTTTTGATAAGAAGAAAGAAATGCAACAAAGACAGACGGTCGAATGCATCTGGCATTTCAGCAATGTAAAGTTCGGTACACATGTTACACAGTCACGTGTTAAGCGTGTGACACGTGATGCACGTTTTGCACAGTGTAAATACAGGTAGTTGTTTCTCTCTTTTGTCGATTTCGTTGAGAAACAATCTGACCTTCAGACCGTTGGATTTTACCACTGGGACAGACTTCCACAGTGAGTTTCTGTACATATTTTTGATATTTTGTCAGGTTTGTTGTATTAGTTTGATAATTTGAAAATATGATAAGCTGTGAATTACCAGCACGTTGATGAAAACTTGATGTCTTACGTTTGTCACACCATTGTAGATTAATTAAGAGATGAAAGAGCTGAACCATTTACTCTTTAAGCATGAAAGAATTTGAGGTATACTTCATCACTTTTATCGGGCGGTGGGCTAGCCTAGTAGTTAAAGTGTTCACTCGTCTCGCTGAAGACCCGGGTTCGACTCACCTTGCTAAAAGCGGTGTAAAACTAAACTCACTCACTCACTCATCACTTGTATGAAGGAAAAGTCAGTGAGGTTCATACTCTTGCAGATAAGTTTCAATATATCTGTCACTTGCAGTCTAAACTTAATATTAGGAAAACTATAATCAGTGATATGAAAAAGAAATACACACAACATATTTAAAGAAAGAAGGAAAACTGAAATATCCAAGAGAGATTCCATGTCCCATCACATTTTACCAGGAAAAAATTGTGTAAGCATAAAGGTATACTATTGTACCTGTTAGTTAGTCAATGTAGGGAAAATGTAACGTTTTCAGCATATCATTTTAGGAGAAAGTACATCATTCTACATAAATGAGATATGAAAATTCATAACAGTGAGTGAATGAGTGAGTTTGGTTTTACGACGCTTTTAGCAATATTGCAGCAATATCACGGCGGGGGACACCAGAAATCGGCTTCACACATTGTACCCATGTGGGGAATCGAGCCCAGGTTTTTGGCGTGGCGAGAGAACGCTTTAACCACTAGGCTACCCCACCGCACAATGAAAATTCAATCTGTAGGTCTGAATAGGTTAATGAGACTCATGTTTCGGTTTGTAGATCAAAGTATATAAAAATTAGTAGAAACTTTCTTCTGGTGCATGTTGACGTCATCGCTTATGAATACATCTATCGGTAATGGTTGAGTTATGTAATGGTAGTCGAACTTGTAACCATATCGAAGTCTTAAATACAATCAATGCCAGTGAAGATTCAGAAGCCAATGCTTGTCGAAAGAGGCGACTAAGGGGATCGGGTGGTCAGGTTTGACATGGTTGATGCATGTCACTGTATCCTAGTTGCGTAGGTCGATGATCCTGCTTTTGATCACTGGAATGTCTTTTCTAGACACGATTATTTGCAGACCGCCGCCATATAGCTGGACAATGGCTGAGTGCTGTGTTAAACAACAAGCAAACATTCATACATACACCTTGCGTGTAGATGCTCTTCCGAGTTGGGGAGTGAGTTGACGTGTCGACATGAATAGTTCTCACACGCAGTTACATTAGGTTCGAATAACCATTCATGTTGTGGGTCATTATCATGACTTATTGCTTTGTCTGTATTGTAGGGTAAATAGCTACAGACCATTCGTCTCAAGAGGATCCACAACAGTACACCCACGGCCGTGCCACGAGTCCAAATAAGTTCTAGGTTCAAACGAAGAAAGAAAATGTCTCAAGGTAAGTGTATCAAAATGGTCATTATTTTCCTCACTCCTCACACTTACTTGCACTCATGATCTTACATTTAAGATGCAACCTCGACACATTCTTGTTGAGAAAATTTACTGGAAACAGTCTGCCTGTTATGCTGAGACATAAATCATTCCTCTCTGAGAACTGACCCTTTGAGCTCACTAGATGAAAACAATACTTCATGTGCCTTCTGTCAGTTATATTAATCCATAACAACATGGTCAAACAGAATTGAATCCGTTTTTCAAACGAATGTGTTATTCCTTGATCGCTTGTTAAGAGAGGTTGAATCCTTGGGCGACCTAGGCTAACAAACAGATGATCTTCGTGATAAAAAGAGGATGTTATTAGCCGTCGATCATTATTCTACAAGGCTTCTAATGCGTTGTATAAGATATCTCAAATGTTGAATCAGGCAGTGCTGACAATTTTTGGGGATCGAAATGATGAAGGATGTTACTGTTCGAATCCAATATGATCCGGATGGATAATCAAAGAAATATGTGGTGATGGGTGATCTTTTTATGGAAAGGATATGCATTAATGTACTCCTGTGTCCATCAAGAATCGAACTGAGAGCGAAAACCTGACGAAACAATGTATCACCGTGGCGGGTGAAGCACATCATGGCCACGGTTTGAGGCCCTCAGTTCGTGTCTTTATAAATATTTTCTGAACGTTTATAACTTAAGTCACCGTCCCATGTCCCATCTTGCTCTCCCCTGTAAATCTTAATGCATATGTCTTAGGCTTATCTGTACCAACTTTAAATATCAGTATGTTCTGTCAAATGTATGAACGGATTTTACTATCACCCTCACAAAAATGATGTCACAACTTATCAACCTCATCAAAGGTACATTTTTCATTAAACCATGTTTGATTTCGACAATAATGTCAATCTACCCAAAAATTGCCACAACACATGTACTTCTCTGCAACATACTTGTTATGTCGTACTGTACCAAACATTCACAAAGAAAAGAAAAATTGGTCAGGAACCTGCCTCCAAATGTGGCATGTCTTCAGGAGAGTTTGAGACGTAACCCGAAATTGATATATGCAATATTGCACAAAAATAGAAGTGTTCCTTTGGGAATAAACTGATCAAGTCAGTAATTAAATTTCACATGGATCTGCAGGCCTATTTTTACACCCATTCACCATGACACTGGTCAGGCTATCTTTGACGCGGATGCTAGTCATGATCAGCCACGGTATACCAGTCAATTAACTGTTTCTATTTCTATCATGATCCCCAGACTAATCACCATATGTTGTGAACTTGAACTGCTTAACTATCTACATGTAGACATAGTAACGTTGATAACTGCAGATGTATGTCATGGATCGCTTGTTCATCTGGTTATACGATACTATTTTCCAGCCAATTTGACAAATCCACATGTCAAAATATACTGTCTCGCACTGTCTCGAATTTTGGTTAATGTGATAATCCAGTAAATGTATAGGTACATGTAACTTCTAGGCATGGTAGGGACTTTTGTGTACATGACTCGATAGTGACAGTGATATGAGTGAAGGCGCTGTTAGTTACAGATGGTTGTCATGGATTGCCTTTCGGAGGCGTGATGAGGGCCACTGTGTTGGCGTAGTAGGCGGACTGTCTGTAATCCTGGTGGGGACGTCTGTAGGCGTTGTGGTGATACAGGTGCCGATGTGGTTGTGGCTTTTGTACTTGCGTAGATGTACTTGTCTAGGTGCGGTGTGGTGATTTATATAAACTTATGACACATGTGATACCAAACAGAGAAGTGTTTTGACGATCTAGGGCGATGGGCCTGTGATTATGTGTTTTTACCCATACGATGATTGCTTCCCGTTTGTATTAAGAGTGGTGTATCTATTCGTGAAATCGAATGAGGGATGTTATCAAATACAACGCAGCATTCGAGACACACATATAAACCACAAAAAATCTTACCACCACAATTATCGTAGAGAAATGGCCACGGCCACCTTGATCAATTGTCTTAATTGATGAATATCGCACCCATATTTTCAACCCCACAATGTTGTAAGCAGTTCATCCCTCTTCTCATTCGTATTATCAGTAACTCATCGTGTTGCCATTACCCTGACCCAAATGTCCATCTGAGTGCTGCAATTCGATGTAAGGAGTTGCGTCCCATTGGCACTCCAGGAACATGTGATATTGACTTCACCCAATTATGTTTCTTGGTGTGTAAGAACCAGAAGGTCCTGGTGGGTTTCATCAAAGTATTCAATGTCTGGGACCTGCATCACTTCGGACCTTCATCCGACAACTGACAACTGGAATACTATTTGAAGCAGCCTCAAACCCAACTCACCAGCTAATTCACTCTCGCCACAAGCTGTTTATATCAGAAAGAGGCCGAGCGGATAGTGTACAGGGTAAAGCGTCAACGCGTGATGCCGTAGACACACCTTACTTACTCCACTACTCACTCCATCACCCCATCACCCACTCCCTTGGATGTTTGGCGGTCGATTCCATGCCTCATAAGTCATTTCTTTATGGTCGTACAAAAGTGTTGATGCTATTCCGTCCTGTAATAAAAGCTGTTTGATCAAGTTTTGTCAGGTGTTCTCATGTTCATTGTCTCACCACGCAGCGGAAAGCTTCAACACAAAACTCACTGGTTGAATAATACAGATTCTATTACTGCTTTATTCGCAGGTTAAATCCCCAACACTAAGGAATCGTACCATGGTCGTAACTTCATTTTACCTCACATTCTTACCCTGCCCCATTAATGTAAGTGTAATCCCCAACAATCTAACCTTCATGTAAAATCGATTGTAGCAATCTGTGTCCAATGACCATTCGTTTTACATTTCTATCGAGACATCGGCATCAGTAGGGATTCATTTTCATTATATGGTGGCACAATTTGCTTAATAAGATATATTTAATTGTTCAGTGTACTTCTTTTCAAAATTACTCCCAATTTGAAAGATTGTGGTGCAACGAGGTTTCGCTGGCATTCGTGTTCAGTTAATGCCAGACAGCACAGTCCGGCATCTGGTTCAATTCAGGACAACCACAAGTATAACATAGACTCGTACTGAACTGGCCTTTGGGCATTTAATTCCTTTTCTGTCAAACATAATGCGAAAAATCAAATAAAAACCAATACGACACGGTGACACGCCCAACTGACAGTTACATATCAGAGAGATTGTACCTCTTTAACGTGGAAGACATGTATCCCTTGTAGTTCAAGTTTAACACACCCCATATATTCACCTGATAAAGGTGCAATGTCTTTGATTTTAATTTGTTCTGCCAATGTCGAAGAGAACAGTCATAAGTTAAACGTGGATTAAGGGAGGCAGTCCATTGAGTGTCTGAATCCTTGGTCAGTGAGAAGCCTCCATGCTTGATGATCGTACAAATAGTGGATTTAGAGACACTGTATTCATCATTTCTTTCAAGCAGCAACAGCAGCGATGATTTGAAATCTAGTGTCGATGACTAATCGCTGTTTAACTAAAGTTAATCAAGGATAATTAACTAACTTAACCAAAACTACTCAAATGTGAAAGATACCCTGGTACCCTCCTTATGTATGAAATCGAGTCGCCAAACATATAATTCCAATCATGGAATGATAAACGTTTCGATACTTGTCTGACAACTCTCCGGAGGTCACACAGCCAGGCACTGTTGTGAATATCCCACTTAATGACGTTGTATGCATTTAGGATAAATAGATGAAGAGGATACACCAGTTCAATTGAATGAGATAAAAACAACTCATGTTGCTCTTAATAATTAGAGGATATCTTTGGTATCAGAAGATTACCGAAAATGTATACATTATTGAATTTCTAGTTGAAGGTCAATACTCTTCTGATAAACTGAGTGTCAGTCCAAAATAACATAACGTATCGCTGTAGCTTGTGACACACTTTCACGTCCACAACTATGACGATACGCTATTTTCAGTGTCAACTCTGTGTATAAAACAAAATCTCAAGAGTTAATCTCAAAGTCACACTGCTGTGAGATAGCTTGAACATTGCTGACAATATTGACTCATGTTTTTCAAACAAAAAACAATGGGATTGTCTATTTAATTAGTGTAATAATTAGAGTATATCTGTTCACTGTGATTCTAAAATCCAAAGTCAAACAAAACTGAGATGAGAATTATGGGTAACTGAAAGCGATGACACCCGGTGTTCCCAAGAAAGGTGATAAACAGAAGTTTATTCCACCAACCTATTTACTGATAACTCCATGTAAAGAGAACTGGATAACTCCATGTGGTATTGGATGGCACCGCACGTCATGCTAGAAAGGGGCGTGTCTTGATATATTCCCCTGAATACCTTCCATAATACTTCTGGAAGACAATTCCTTTGAAAATAAAAGTATTGGATAGAATCGCATATAATTTTGACAATGACATGTCTTGATATATTCCCCTGAATTCCTTACAGAATACCTCTGGAACACAATTCCTTTAAAAACGATACGATCAGCATATATTCTGCCTATCATTGAAATTTGAAGTACATGAAAGCAATTGAGAAATATAGACGACAGCACCTGGAGCTTACATGATGGGTAGTCACGACTGGAAAATGGAAACCAAATATAGTTTACCTCTGAAGCTACAATTCTTCTGAAATCGAACTTGCAGAGTCTCAATATGTGCTGGACAATGTCAGTGTTGAAAATTCAACAGCTTACGATCGTTAACAAATTCAGTCAGCATTGAAGTTACACCCACAAATGTTTTTGTCGCTTACTATATTACAAACTGTCCAAACAATAATAAAACAGTATTCAGAAATATTCCATTACTTCCCGAAAAAAAACGCTTTCAGGCTGCAATTTACCGAATTGTCGCATCAAGACTTCAGTAATGATATTAGTATAACTGACCTTAACTTAAAAACAGCACAACACACACTTGTCTGATACATACGACAGTCTGGCCATGATGGACCGTCAGGAGTCTTGTTATCAA